GTCAAATTATAACACAGGCACTGTCAGCTATGGGATGAGCTGACTTGTTCAGTATTCCTAACAGAAGGAGTTCCAGCATAAGTCCTGAGCTAACTCTGAGGTTCCCCATTACATTACCAAAAGGGGATATGTATGCTAGACAGACAAAAACAAGAGATATCCACTATTCCTGGTAATATGACAAATGCAAACAATCATTTTTTAATTTCTATTCAATGCATTATATATTATTTGTTAATAATAGACTGTTATGTGCTTATATATTTGACATACACATAGGTTTACTGAAAATAAAAGTTTTTATCAGATTCTTACTTATTGCAGTATACCAGTTTAAAATTACAATACTTAAAAATGACTACATAGATAACATCATAGATATTCAACACACATTTCTAGTCATAGGAATAGATAATACATTAATTTGACATGAGTCTAATTTATTTTAGGATCTTGGGTCTGGTCCCTACAATCGAACAGAATTTCAGAAACTGGTCTTCTGCCTAATAATGTTACCCTGCACACTCAAAATGATGCATTAACATATCCAAGATCCATAAATACAAAGAATATACACACACACACATATATACTTATATATATACACATACAGGCTCCTGCCTTCTTGGAGTTCACAGCACAGGAGGGGAACTTCCTGTAAACCATAATACCAGATAATGATAGGTATATCTTCATATAAAGAGATACACTGATAATTCATAAAATATGAGAAGTACAGGCAAGAAATGAAAAACCTATGAAACTTATGCAAAATAATATTTAAATAGTCAAAAATGTGGACGACTGAAATTTATAATACAGCTACATCAGTGAACCAATATGAGGCCTGGGTCTGCTAGAACCAATAGATTTCCTTACATTGTGTTGGAGAAAGTATAGCAAAAGAAAAGAGATCCTTAAGATATATTTAATTAACAGCATAGTATTTGCCAAAAACTGACTAACAATATACAAAGTACTTATTTAAAATTAATATCTAGGTTATAGGCTGGCTATAGAATATTTGCTGCTTTAGTGTCATTATACGACCAAATTAATATTTCTGTGGAAAACCTCAGAACTCAAGATTCTGAAAGTTCAATAGTTACATATACATTTTAATTTAATTTTCAACACCCAATAGCAAGAATAAAATATAACTCAAGTTAATACAAAAAGCTTACATGTCAACATAAATTAAAACGCAAGATATTATTTTAATATAAATCAATGTGGTTTTATTAATATTAAGGACTGTGATTCTAGAATACAACTTCATATTTTTAAAACAGATTTAGTTCAAATACAGAACATACCTCTTGTTTGTAAAATTTTAAGTATCTTTAAATTGAAAATTATTCTGATTAGCAAGCTTCAAACCAAAAAAAACCTCCAGGAACAAAAGTTACTGTCACATTCAAGTATGGAAGAGTAACTTAAAAATTTCCATTTAACCAAAATACTATGATCAATATGCCAAGACAGCAGAACTTAGCCCAAAAATCCCCTCAAAGTATCTTGTTATGCTTTCAATACAGTATACAACGTGCCACTTAAATGTGAAAAAAAAAAAAAAAATGATCATTTTCTACAACTAAAGATACACTGATATATCATGCAGTCATTCATGGGAGGAAAAAAGTCTACAAACTAAATGCTATAGAATTATAGACAGCTATTCAAAAAAATCTCTACTGTGAATTCTTTCATTAAGAAAATATTAATCCTCTATTTTCTTTTCTAAAAATATGTTTACATTAAAATTTTTGGTAAAAAGAAACTTCCATGCTATAAACAAAGAACACATGATACTTACATAGCATTTACCTCAAGGAAGGAAAAACCTTATAAAAACATATGTTAAGGAAGCAATGGATTAAGTAGTGTGCCTGCTTTATAACTGAAACGGCCAACAAGTTTTTTTTCTATAAAGGCTCTTATACTGCCACATTAAATAATTCCTCCCTAAGACAAAGTTTGTTTATGATCAGTTTCTTTCATTGGTAAAGCTACAATGCAAAATCCTTGACAATATGCTGTCATAACGTTATTTACAGACTAAGGTACTCATCTTCCTGATGCTACCCATTATACAAAATACATCCATCTACAACGGAAATTATTCATTTTATTTCTTATTATATTGGTGATTCTTGAACAAATTCCCACAATCCACCTGAGTAATGAAAACACATTTCTACCTTTGGCAAACAGAAGCAAAAAATTACAGCTACAGCTGTGTTGAAGAAGTTCTATCTATATTTTGCTGCATGCTTAATCTTTACTCTGGAAAACTTAATTTTTTGGGCAAGACATGTGAGAAACAGCACCTAAAAACCAAGTATTCTCATACTGTATATAAAGAATGTACAAGAAAAATAGAAAAGTATTTTGACAGAGGTGGCTGAGAAAAGGTTATTGTTTATGGTAGAAATGCTATTATTTTGAAGTTTCACTAGTTTTTCTCTTTTCTGTGATAAAGGGCACCGTGACAGATATTACACTATTTCTACCTATAATTTTTATTTAATGATTTAAATTAAGATTTTGAGAAAAACTCAATTTAGAGATAATATTAGGGGTTTCCAGTCTCTAGGTAACAAGACACTGAGTTTACTAAATGGATTTTACTGGGTTTACTTGTTAAGCAAATAGTATTAAGTTTTGATAATTATTTTTTAAATTCCTAAGATTTCCAAATATTTTCAGAATCAGCTTAGGTTTTCACATGACATTTTCATCATGAGTATATTGGAAAGATAAAAAACTCTAAACCTACTATTCAAGAAATATGACACTTCATAAGACCAATTCATATTCCACAATCAATATAATTAACAACTTAAGAGTAAATAACTCCTTTGTCATTTGTTTGATTCCCCAAAAAGTTCCATTTAAAGATTGATTGCATTCTTTAAAAATATACAACGAAATTTTAAACCTAACTCTTTTGATTCCCAAAAATCAGTGCAGTTACAAGGTGTGAAGAAGATCTGGGGATATACCATTACAGTACTACCTTATTTCGGATTACTCTAAAGCTTAACAATAAAGTTAATCTCTACAATAATTTTTGCATATGAGACTTCATGGTAGATTTTCATTGCACTGAAGAGTTAAATGCCTTTTTTTATCTCAAAAGAAATATTTCACTTCCTTTCCTAATCTACTCTGTATCTATAGAACCCCATCTGTTAAGGACTGATCTGGCAGACATCTATACTGCTGCAGATTCAAAGCCCATTCAAATCAGTTTCCAGCTTGTGAGAGCTCTATTGCCTCTTATCACATTAAAAATGTATTAAAAAGCATATAAATAGTTATTAAAATAACCTAATATAACATCTTCTAAAGTAAAATTGGTATTGGTTAGGTGAAAACTGGAAAAAAGCTTTAAACGTGTTCCTTTAAATTTACAGAAATAAATTTACAGAAATACAGTATCTGCTAACATACTAACATATTTTGAGATCTAACTTCTTTGCTTTTAAAAAGGAAGAAAAAAAAAGACAAGTACCAGCCTCCTACCTGCAGCTGGTTAAAATTAAAACTCCCAACAACATTTCTACTAGTGTTTTTAAAAGAATTTGGCTATATCAATGTGGTAACATTACTCAAACTTATAACTGACTTTTGTGGTGACATATTTAAAGAGTAAAGAGAAGCAGAAAGGGGTGTTCTGTACTTAAACAGTAATAAATATAACAAAGCAAGGACAGGTGTTCTCCTGTCTTTGACTTGAACACTAGCAAGAAGAAGAAAAAAAAAAACAGCTTTAACTTTTCCGTGAATTTAAGAGGTTCATAAACAGTAAACATTTTCTAATCCACACTGCTATAGTTGCAATTTCCTTTCAGTTTTCCAATAGATCAAATAAAAATAATGGCTTAGTTGAAAAATCAGACTACATGGGTGTTATAAAATCTCCGTGCAAGAATATTTTTATATTGCTGTGACTCCACACCAAATACAATAGTCAGCTGATTGCTCCTGATTTAAACCTTGCCTTCCAAAACCCAACCTTACTGTATGCAAAGGAAACTGTTGAAAAGCTTTGCTGCAGCAAAAACTGCATTTACAAAACATTAAAAATGAACTACTCTTAATTATGTGCAATTTATGATTCCCCTCTCCTGTTTCTTCCTATTTTCCCCCCTGACATTTTGAACGCTTCTTAGCCTCAGTAGATGGCTCAAAACATTAAGTCATACACAGTTCTGCAGTAACGCTTTCTAATCATGAAAGAGGAAAAAAAAAAAAAAAAAAACTAGGGCTACATCTAACACCTTTCCTTTAGTCTTTATCCATATGCCACGCTCTCTAAGACAACCACAAAAACCAACCTGTATGATTTGGTGCCCTCACATTTTAACATGTTGTGAGCGCACGCGCGCACGCGCGCACACACGCACACACCCACGACTAAAGAGGTGAACACATTCAGGACATTAAAAAGAAAGGCTACCTAAAATAGAGATGGGAGTTAGGGGGACACAGCCACAACACTCTCCACATCATAGTCTCGTAATATATTTAAAAGCAGATGCAAAACTGCATCATTTTCCTCCTCATTCGACATCACGCCCCAGCTGCTCAAGTTCGAGCTAATGCGCTCCCCACATTTCAGAAGCATCGGGGGAATTTAGGCTTCAGGGACAAGGCTTTCATCCTCGCCTTGTACAATTAATAGTGTGGGAGAAAAAACTCCACAGAAAAGGAGGCCTCCTCTCCCCTCAATTAAACTCTCAAATCGACCCAAAATCTGCACGGCAAGGAATGATTTACTACTCAGCGGTATTAAGCTGGGCACAGCGCTCAGGTGGCTGGAGGGGACCAGAGGAGACCCAGGAGGTGGCGTGGCTTGGACTGCGCGCTGGCAGGTCACCAGCTGGCAATACCAGTTGGACGATCTGGGCTCGCAGGGACGCGCTGCGCGGTGACCCTGGGGGTGCAGGGAAGCTACGGGGGCTGGGAGGCAGACAGCACGCATTTTCCCTTACCAGGTTCAGCACGGTCTCGACGATGTCCCTGTTGCTGACCTCTCCGACCTGTATGAGTCCAATCAACACTGCGAATTTCATCCGGATGTTGCGGATCGGCACCGAAGGGTTAATCATCCCAGCGGGAAGCACCACGGAGCCGGAGCCGGACGCTCCCATCGGCTCCCCCATCCCGCTGCCCCCGCTGC